TAAAAGATCAAATATTTATTTCTAGTAGTTGAACTTTTTGGAAACGTTAGCCAATAGACAATAATAAAGTTTTGAAAATAATAAGAAGAGATATTATAGGATTCATGTATAAGTGGTGTGTACTATATTGTACACATTGGCTTGATCCAAGCTTCGGTACAATTCACCACTAATTGATTTTACGACGTGCGTTATATTGACCGTGAAGATCGTGTCCCTCGTAGTAGTAGTTGGTAGTAGTAGTAGTAGTAGTAGTAGTAATAATAGTAGCATGGTGTTTATGATACCCAGCGATGATAGGAGAAACCAACAATTGTATAATACAGATGGCATTCTGAGGATGGGAGTCATGCATGATAAACACCCTTTTTAGGTAACAAAACTAAAATAATATATTACAAATACAAGGGACAAAGAATGTAATTCTTGGGGCGGGGGTTGGGGGGGGGTTGAACAATTTATTATAAATATTCTTAGTTAATATTTGTGTGTGAGAATATTGTATAATAATTAGGAATGTTAAATATAATTATAATTGTAATGATAGTATTTTTAACATTGTGATCAGATTGATACAATTGAAACTGTTAATGTCATTTTTCTAACTAAGCTTAAGATTGAAAAGAAAAGATGAGAAAAAGTTAACTCGCTGATACGAGACAACAAATCCTAGACCTTAGGTTAGACCTTTAGGTATATCTGTAGAATAGCAGAACTCCTTGGCCCCGAATTGGATCACAACGATCTTTCTCGGAAGGAACCAAGATAGCAATGAAGGAGAGTTCTCTCTCTCTCTCTCTCTATTTCTCTCTTACTCTTTCTCATACTAACTCGAGCGAGCAGACAATGAGACAATGGAGAGACGGTTGCAAGGAGCGATAGCACCGGATTAATTCCCAATCGATTCCAAGAGGAACTCCTTTCGACTCTATCCTGGGGGTTACCATATCACCTCGATGATTCGAAAGAAAAACGACACTTATTTTTCTTACTACAAAACGTCTGTGTCCTATATTACTCTAAATATTACTTTATTTATTTTAAGTTAAGGACAAAAATATGAACTAACGTTTCATTAAATATATTGATAGATACGAATCAATTTTTTATATACAAAAATGAAATAAAATTGTACACCAAAGATGTTACCAACAACACAACTCGATACATAATAAAAGGAAATTAGATTAGTATTGATAGGTAGACAAACGAAACATAATAGATAAAGTGAAACAAAGTTGGTTATTGAGTAGGAGAGAGAGAGAGAGATCAAATGATTGTTATCATAACCATCTGTGGGCCTCTCTTTCGCAAGCTTAAAAGCCGAGTGTCCTGTTAGATCAAAGGAGGCAACGACGTGTTCCGGAGTGCGGAATGCACGTAGTAGATTCCCCAAGCGAATAGATTCCAAAATGAGCACGTTAAAGTACCCATGGGATGCGCTCGATGACGTTGCGTTACTCGTCACAGTGTAACAATTTTTGGGGGGAGGGGGGCTTGCATTTACGAGAACAGTAAAGGGGGTGGTTTTGTGATAGATCGATCGAAGGGATTTATACATTGATCAACGATGCGTTAAAAGTTGAATTATTATCGATAAAATGTAACAACCGAAATCTGATATCTGAAATATATATATATATATACGTGAACAAAATTAGTCGAAAAATAAATCCCATTTATGTTAGATAAAATAATAGATAACCGAACAACAGATAGGATAATTTGTTCTAGCGAGTTGATGAGCGTTAGAAAATTGATGTTACGACGATTCTCGAGACCCTTTAAGTAACATTCCAAAACTAACATCTGATTTATCAACACATGTGTCTACACAAATGCAAGAATCTCGTTAAAGCTTTCAGAGAAAACTTATCGATGATCCTCATTAGGTAATTATCTTTTAATTAAGTTGAAAAAAAAGGACTGCAGTATAGGCGCCGTATACTGTTAGACTAGTATACGTGATTACCTTGTTTTACCGGTTAGAGAGACAGGTCAATGTGTTCAGTCTAGTCTATGAACAGACGACGACGACAAGTCTACCTAATCACGATCGGTCTATAAATATTCTTAAGTGAGTATTGAAGTATATGCATTTATTTATGTTCTGGTATTAGAGGAAAAAAGAAATAATGAAAAACAATTACGTTTCTTGTATATATACACACACACGTTAACGAGTATTTATAATTAATTAGACAAAAAAGAAAAGGGGATCAATACAATATAAAATATCATTGTTACATCGATTAATCGAAAAATTATTTCAACATGTACACCAATTCTAATTCTCTCTATTGCAAATACCAATAATTCATTTATTAATTCAAATGTGAAATATTAATCATATATTTAACAAGGAAGTTTTTGGGGAAAGAAAAAAAAAAGAAAAAGGGAGATCAAATAAATTCAAAATGAAATAAAATCTTGGATTCGTTGGTTAGCAATTCTGGCTACCAGCAGGACAGGACAGTAGTGGTAATAGTGGGTAGAGAGGGTAGGGTAGAGTAGGGTGAGGTTCTCGGTATTCTCTCTTTTTTTCGAGGAAGAAGAGACGGTATAGAAGTAGGGTGGAGACCCGAATCCTGAGGCAGTGGACCGTGAATGCGATACCACGTTTGCCGTGCACATCGGTGTTGGGGAAGTGCCGTCAAACAAGCGTTCGTCGACCATCCCTCTAGGGGTGTACCCATCCACCCCCATCTGTGCGATCCAAGCCCTAGTCAACGACAGGTTAACGTTAGTTAGGACCGATTTGTTTCTATCAATTAATTAGCCCTCTTACTTCCTGATATCGATGACATCCATTCCTGCCTATCAAAGAATATCAAATATTTTAGATACTGATAAAATTAAATAAATCAAAGTATAAAGAGAGAGAGAGAGAGAGAGAGAGATAGATAGATAGATCCTAGTAAAAACAACAAAACAATATATTAACCAATTCCTTTTTTCTTGTATACATTTGCATCGCAAATCTGCTGTTCGTCTCCAATGTTCGTCGCATATTAAATACCTGGCTGCATTCTTTAGTAATGTATACAATACCTATCAATACGTGTGCTGCTAATCGAATCTTCGAAGTATGTAATCGTAAGTTAGATCACATCTAAAGATTCTACTTGATAGTGTGTAGAAAACTTGAATACTGAATTAAGAATTACTACCAGTTTTAAATACACGAACGTGATTATTAATAGCTGATCATAAATTATTGTTTTCTTTTTGTTTTCTTTTCTTTTCTTTTCGAAGAGACCAGGAATAAGAGGATAGAGAGGTATCGAGTTGGTTGTTTGGTTGGTTCATTGGTTGGTTGGTTAGTTAGTTAGTTGGTTTCTTAGAGAAAGGAACGATTTACATCTGGATTATCACTAACACGAGGAGATGCGAGAATGAAAATGAATGCGTAGGCTTTTTGCCAAGTCGTGAAACGCGCATTAACGGTCGGTCTTGCTTATCGGTAGCTGAGTCTGCGTTATTGCGTCGACGATGACCAACCGAACGATAGGAACTGTTTCTCTGTATAGTGGTATTCACCTACACACACATACATACATACATACATAGATAGATATTTTACACACATAAGTCTCTACGTCTCATAACTCGCCCGATACCAGCAGCCAGGCTATAAATGATGAAAACTGTCGTTGTTCGCACGATTCCTTTACCACTACCAGGATATATCAGCTCCCTCTCATCGATCTTGAAACTGTCTTCGCTTGGTCAAACGCGAATCCAGGAAAAATATTAGGAATATCAGATATTTCTTTTCCTATTTTTACTACCAACCTTTTCCTTCCAATGAAAGTATGGAATATATGCGTGTGCATATGTGTGTATGCACGTATCTAGATAGGATATGTATTGGATAAAGACAAAAGAGGAATCGATAAGACGATCTCTATCGATCGGTATGACATCAAAGACAATTAACACGTTGATTGCCATGGAGGTCAATCCACTGATTAAACTTGCTTTTACACACACACACACACACAGTTTAATTATTTTAAAACGTTTATTTAACATTTATTTTTTTTGCTGACTTTTTGATATATTTCATTGATTGTTCTAAAAAAAAAAAAAAAAAAAAAAAAAAAGAAAAAAAAAAAAAAAAAATTTTGAAATTGAAATGCAATATTCACGCTTGTGAAAATTTGTTGTTTGAAATTCCGCAATTACTTCTTTTTCTCTTCTCATTTTCAGTTTACATCGTCTAGGAACGTGAATTAAACCCAATTGATTACATCCCGCATGCGATTACGTCTCTTCAATCTTTCTAAAAGAAAACGGAACTGCCCGCAGCGGACATTTCTTATCAGATCGACGAAAAATGGGTTGGTATGTATAAAAAGAAAGAAAGAAGAAAAAAAGAATCTTGTCGATTCCAGAAAACTATAGTTTTTCCCGTATTATATTTTTTTTTTGTATCTTTTTTTTGTAGGAAATAAAAGTAGTCACCAGCATTCGATCAAATCGCATACAAATAAAGGATAATAATCAAATAAATACAAGCAATTAATTTCAAGCGATAAAATCGATACTGGTGACAAAATTTTGTGTTAAACGTCATTTTTTCTCCCTTTTTCTCCTTTTTTTTTTTTTTTTTTCAGGAAACGAAAATATTCACTAACATTCGTTCGGATTATAGAAAATATAATAAAATAAATATGAACAATAAATTTAAAGCGATAAGATCGATGCCGGTGACAAAATTGGTTATTAAATTTCATAATTTTGCTAATCGTTTTCTATCTCGTAGGCATAATAAAATGTTTATTATAAGATAAAATAGCATACGCGTATAAAAGGAAAAGGAAAGGGATTTAAAAATATAAGAAATAAATGTTATAAGAAAAATAATAGAGAAAGATGATAAAAATAAGAATTCAAATAAGGCGGAAAAAGAATAGATTGTCGCGCATGTGCAATGTATACGCGTGCAGCGCGTGCGACTGCAGTGCTACCAGTACGGAAGTACGCAACGACGCTTACTTCGCGGTTCGCTCCCTCCAAAACCCGCGCGTGTATTGGCAACATTGTTTTTTCGTAGTTTACAAATAAAATGGCCGATATATGAGTCTATTTTGTATGGACAATAAAATATGGAATTTATTAAAATAAATGACGATCGGTCTGGTGCATGTGCGAGGTAAAGTACAAAAGTCGTGTCGTAAACAATAGTTTAAGATCGTTTAGTGTAAGTGAGCGTTTGGGAGTGGTGCGAGAGAAAGGTGGAGGTTGTCTTTGAAGAACCCGTGGACGCCGCAGGCAGGCAGGCAAGAAGACCGATAGTAAGAATATCGGTTTCGGCATTATTTTCGTATGCGTACCGTACCATAAACCGCCGTTATTAATATTGGCGGTGTACGGTGGCGCGACGGCGATCTAGAAAAACAGTGCTCTAGGATAACCGAGAGCTAGGGGTTTAGCGGATACTACCCCCTCTGCCGCCTGCACCTAATTTTCGGAGGAGCCGAGCCTCCGCCACCCGGAGGCTGCGTGCATTTAAGCCAGAGGGGAAGAAGCGCGCCAACAGAATTATTCGAATTTCTTCGAATATTCTTAACATATCTTATGCCATCTATTATCAACAGGAGATTCAGATAAACACATAACGTGCTTACCTTATTTTATTTTATTAAACATCATATTTGGAACTATATCAGCAAGTACTTGTTAATGTTCTCCATGATATTATTCATATGAGAAAACTAATTAAAGGTTACACAAACAGTTATGTTACCCAAAATCTACACTCAAAAACAAGATACTGGAGTGTAAAGATTACGTTAACATATATCCTATCAAAATATTTCCATCCGATCAATTTGCCGTAGTGGAGAGGATTGGTACGGAGGATGCGTTGACAGAAACAGAGGGGCCTATCGGTGTAGCCTCCAGCCAAGCCAACCCCTTCATTGCTACCCTTGCAAATATGTGTACAACCCCTGGCAACGCAGGCGCTGGATTCGGGTATGCCTGGTCCTTTGGAGGACCTGGTACTGAAACCCGAGAGAACGCACAGAGCGAACTTGCTACCAATATTAGTTACGCTGTTAATAACAATCAGGATCAAGGTTCCAGTCAGAAAATTCAAGTCGACATCAAGCCCACTAAAAACATTAATAGTTCTCATCGTAGACCTATGTTCGCTATGAATGAAAGTTGCCAACAAACTTCTACTACTCATCACGGTCATACGGGTGGAGCTCACAATCAAACGCATGGTTCCCATGTTCGCACTAAAAAGCATCACGACGTTTTCCCATTGAATTGTGAAAAGGGTGGTTGCCAGTGCGACGCTTCTCAACCGACCCCACCACCCTCTCTATTTTCAAATACATTAGTATTTACTACAGGTGACAAGCATGGCATGAGTAAGCATTTCATGACACCGCTTGGACCTCTGCAACTTACTGCGGAAGAGTGCAATGAAATTTTAATGAAAAGGGCAGCAGCTGCTTCTAATCAAGCGAATGCCAATAACGTTGCTACCAGTCAGACTGATGGTACAGCTCATTTTGGACACGTTTTGACGCACGTAAACACAACTCAAATTGAGACTAAAGTAAAACAACAACAAGACATGGGCAGCCAAGTTCGTGTACCTAAAGAAAGACCATATTCTTGTTCTGAATGTGGTAAATCATTTTTACTAAAGCATCATTTAACGACGCACGCGAGAGTACATACCGGAGAAAGGCCTCACATCTGCATTCACTGTGGCAAAAGTTTTGCTCACAAACATTGCCTTCATACTCACCTGCTCTTACACAGTTCAGAAAGACCTTATCAATGTCGAGAATGTAAAAAGTCCTTTACGTTAAAGCATCATCTCGTAACGCATACTCGGGTACACACAAGAGAAAGACCATTTGTTTGCCAGGAATGTGGAAGAGCGTTTCCTCTTAAACGCCACTTAGTCACCCATAGTAAATTCCATTCTGGAGAAAGGCCATTTGTCTGTGAAGAATGTGGAGAGTCCTTCTCACAGAAGGATCATTTGACGATGCATTCGCGATTTCATGGCAGTTTACATCCATTTGTTTGTCCTGATTGTGGGGCTACATTTCAAAGGAAGTTTGAACTAGTTAACCATGGTCGGTTACATGGTAGAATTCCACACTCGTGTACTGTTTGTGGGAAAGAATTTTTACAGAAGAGAACGCTACTAGCTCACATGCGTTTACATACAGGAGAGACACCTTTTGCTTGCACCGTTTGCGGAGAGGCATTCCCAAGAAAAGTAGATTTAGTTACGCACTCCAAGATTCACAATAACAATACGAGTACAGATGAAAAGTCTCTAACATGCAGGTATGTCGGACGCATAAATGACAACAGAAAGTCTCCGGAATATTCAGATTGACATTAAGCATAAGCTATTGAGATCTGTGAGAAAAATATTCCATCGAGATAACAACAAGTTTATTATTTCAGGGAGTGTGGACTAGAATTTTCTAACAGGGAAGCCTTGACATTGCACTTAAGGCTGCACTCTGGTGACAGAACTTTAGTAACGGATTTATGTGGGTTAGCAGCTGCCTTCCAACAAACTCCTGGACACTTTTTAACTCCTAATACTCCTGGAACCCACCAGGTAATGCATCTATAATCGTATAGAAAAAGTACATACGAAAACTAAGTAAAATAAATATTTCCAGATGAATGGTCCGATAGGAGCTCCTGGTGTTAGCCATATGCATGGTGCAACGCAAACCTCGCCACCAGTTGGTACAGGTCCTAAACCAAAACCGCATATCTGTCCGGATTGTGGCCGTGGATTTGCTCAAAAGCATGGACTCTCCCAACATCAACGACGTCATACGGACGGCAGTTGTCATATAAGGTCACATGTTTGTGACAAGTGTGGAAAAGCTTTCTTCCAGAAGAATCATTTGTTGTTACATCAACGTCAGCATATGGATCCTCCACCAAGTATACTTCGGCAGCAGCAAAGACAAGCTGCACAGGCTGCTGCACAACAGGCACAACAACAGCAAGCACAGCAGCAGCAGCAGCAAGCGCAACAACAACAGCAGGTGCAGCAACAAGCGCAACAACAACAACAACAGCAGCAGCAGCAGGTACAGCAACAACAAGCACAGCAGGTACAACAGCAGCAGCAGCAGCCTCAGCAACAGCAACAACAAACGTGTACGGTTGATACCAAAACGATCCAGTTACAAGCAATACAGCAGCAAGTTCAACAGCAAGTACAACAACAGGTACAACAACAGCAGCAGCAACAGCAACAAGCGTGTTCCGTGGACACTAAAGCAATACAGTTGAATGTCACCATGTGAGACGGTTTAAAGCGAGACTTTACAGTCCCTGGAACAATAGCACTCCCAAATTTGCACCCTGCTGCCACCCTCTGCACGCACGTCTCTTGTACTAACACATCGTATTAGATATATTTATTATCAATAGATCCAAATACGAAGTAATCAATTTTATTACAAGAGTATATATACAAAGTATACATATTATATTCTAATAATGTAAGGCTTGTAACAATAAAAGTAACCATATATTAGTGTTTTACATATACTTTATATATATACACACATGCATATATATATATGTATATATATCATTTGAATTGATATATAAATATATACATACATATATATATATATATATATCATTTACTCTAGATATAAAATGAAACTAAACAAATTAGTTGCCTTAACGAAATGAAAAATTTTAATGGATATATTAACTATTTGTTTGCTATTTTTTTTAATTTTTTTTCCCCTTTTTTTTCTTCATTATTTACTTTTACTTAGTAGGACTCGTCACTTTATAAGAAAAATAAAACTACATATTGAATAAACAAAGATAAAAATAAGTCCGTTATGTGTTGCTGCTTTGAAATACTGCTTTGTTGTTATTCTCCATGCTAGGAACGACGGTACGTTCGAGAGAAAATGAGAGAGAGAGAGAGAGAGAGAGAGAGAATGTGAAAGAACGAGAGAAAACGAAAAAGAAGGAAGAAAAAAAAATATTATAGATATTAAAAAACCACGAGAATGTGTGAGAGTGCGAAGGATCATTTATAAGATAAAATTTAAAGAAAAAAAAAAAATAATAAAATATTACAAATAATAGAAAGAAGAAAAGGAAGAACAACAAAGAAAGAGAGAGAAAAGGTTTTATGGGAGAAAATGAGGGTGGCAGGCACAGTGCAATTGTTGCGTAAACGTTTTTACGCACCATTATTATTATTATTATATTATTATTATTATTATTATTATTATTATTATTATTATTATTATTATTATTATTCGCTAATTAATATTAGCGGATTAGTCCGAAGTGACACACATGCGTATTCGTTCGATTATCAATTGTGGCAAAAAAAAAGTTTTTATCAAGATATATATATATCGAGTTTTTCAGTATGGATGATGGACAAGAAGAAGAAGAAGATTAAGATAAAGAAGAATAACCCGGCAATATATAGAGACACATCAGTATCAGTGATAATTGATCATTTCTATATACATAAACACACCATCAAACGAACATTCGGACAAAACAGCAAAATATTTTATATAAATAGGCCAATTAACTAACTTTTCGTCTATTATGTGTTCTCCTTTTCTTTTCTTTTTGTCTTGCTAATTACTTTGTTCTTTATTTTCTTTTCACTTTTTATTTTGTAATTTTTATTGTCATCTTTCCCATCTCTTTTTTTCTCAAAACAGTGAAATTTTGTTAGTAGCGTTCTTCCTTCCCGGCCCCCGTTGTACTTCACACACATTCTCTCTTGATTACAACGTTTTTAATTATTATTTTTTATGACAATTATTATTATTGTTATAATTGTTGTACATTTTTTTTTTTTCTTTTGTTTTTGGTATGCAGCGTATCAAATGCGAGCGCGCGTACTCTCTAAACGAAACAGCAAGAAAAACAAAACAAAACTCGAAATTTTTCGCAAAAGTTATCCCAGCTTTAGCAGGATTTTGTAATAGATTTGTGATTTTAGACTTGTCGAAAGAATTGTAATATGTAATAGAATTATGCAAGAACTTAAAAACGATATAAAAAAAAAGCGAAAAATCCAAAAAAAAAACAGAAAAATAATGCGAAGAAAAGTACGAATAAAGGTAGCTTTCCTATGTAGTTTTAACATTCACGCATGCTTTCTTTCCAGAAACGAACGTGACTTATTGGACCTTTGCGTGACGATGCTTTTCATGCATTGAACAATTTAAAAAGTAGTATTAGTAGTTTATTTTAAATGACAATGATGGTGATAATCATTTTAGGAAAACTCTTTTGAAATGTGAATTCACCAAATTGCGAGGTCTCGATTCTTCTATAAAGAGAGAAAGAAAATGTATAAAATATGTCAGGAAAGGTTTTGTTATAGAGTCGGAATGAAATATTGTGGATACCTATGAAATGGGCAAGCAACTATTGTACCCTGTTGAGAAGATTAACAGCAGGGGATCACTAAAGGAAAGATGAAAGAAGAAAACCTGATTCTATTGTTGAAGATTTTTAAAACTACCAAGTAGGATCTTTACACGATAACCATAACATTACTTAAAATTAATAATGGATTTATTTTTAGGTTTTATGGTCAACAGTTGATAAAATTAACATTTAAAAGCCTACCGCGATTAACGCGACTCTGTTTACCTGGTCTGCATAGATATTTCAATTTTAACAATCTTATCAAACATTGTCCCAAACTATTGTCCTATAATACCAAGAAGAATACGCTGAGACATTTATTTTGAGTATGGTTCCAAATAATGGGAATGGTCGAGTTTCTGCTGTGTTGGAAGATTATCAACGTCGATATATCCAGGAAGAAGAATACATCACCTTTTTGTTTTCCTATTAAACGTTTATTTGCAATTATCCAGAGCAGGTTTGTTTAATCATAATCGTTAATAACACGATAAACGTGTAATCTACGCCGACCAGATAAATGCAGTCGTACATTTTTTATATAATCTAATAGAAAATACGCGCACGTAATTGTTTGTTTCATGCGTACAATATTTCATTTGCGACTCTATAACTAAAGTATTTTTCTAATCAACTTGAAACATTTTTTCTTCTTATTTTTTTTATAATATTAAAGTATAAGACATGTGAATTTTTATTTCTTTTATTATTATTATTGTTTATTTCATTTTTCAAATCATCTAATGCGGATATTGCAGGAATTCCAACGCCCCGAAGTTATCCAAGAGCGGCGGGAATATTTGTAATTTTGAACAATCGAACAGTCGAGATAGCATTGCAATTGATATGCACGAACTTAACGCCCTTCTTGCTATTTACGTACATATATATTTTCGTTTAATTCTACGAGGAACAACGAAGACATAAAAGGTAGAGCTATTCGATCTATATTTCTTTTTCCCACCGAACTATATTTACCTCGACTCGCGATATAGTATTATCACAGATTTATTTGATTTTCAGTGAGCGCTAATTTCAAGATAGATCGTAGAAACATAGAAAAAAGTTTTCTTTCCTCAAAACATCGATCATTCAATAAGTTGCATCTATCAAATAAAGTAAATAATCGAAATATGATAAAGATTAGAAAAAGTAAAATTACGAAACGAAAGTAAAAGTTTAAAAAATTGAAAAACAAATAAAATATTCAAATTCAATTGAAGGAAAGGGTACGAGATAAATGACAAACATTGGGATATATAAGGATATTTAAAAAAGTAAAATAAAATAAAGGGAGAAAGAAAAGTGCATCATCCTAGGGTGCATCCTAGTGCATCATCCATCAAATACGTGGGAGTAGGGTTAGCCGCGATTGCAGCGCCGCGGTGCATCTCGACGGCGATGTCCGGAGATAAATTGATGTAGTATTGCGCATGCGCGTATAAAATTTCTCCCTTACACCGTCCCGCCACCTTTGGACGAACCGAAATAAATCGAACGACGCCGAGTCGATCAGCAGTACGGTATTCGTTGGACGCGACCGTTTTTTGCATTTAGTGATGATCAGGACGAGTCGTCGTTGTTGTCGTCGACGTTGTTGTTCGTGGCACTGTGCGAAAACGAAGTAGCAATTGTATAGACGGGGGACACGCACAGTTCAGAAATAAATAATCGTTCGTTCGTGAGAGAAAAGAAATTAAAAAGAAAGAAAAAATAAACAGAAGAAGATAAACAAGACGAAAGGAAAGTAAGGGATAAAAGTAAAGAAGGAAGGAAGAAATAAATAAATAAAAAAAAAAAGGAAGAGGAAGAACGAGGAACGAGGACACGCGCGTCGTCGTTTGCTGCCGCGGCCACGGATGCATATGGAGGTTGGTAATGTTTTATTCGAATAATAATAACAACAACAATAATAACATTACCAATTAATAATAAAAAAATCATTAAAGAGAAAATTAACTTATTTGACAGGACTTGTTGTCACTGTTTTATACGATCATTTTAATATGATATTCTCTTTAAATGTGTTTTTACCTCTTCCAGAGTCCCATTCACTTCCTCTTGCAATTTTGATCATTATTGTTTTACCGAATCGTAGGAAATGTCAAAGGATTATTCTATATCATTCTAGAATCGAAGAAATGTGTGTCGTCAAGTGAATCGGTTGTTAAGCGTTTGTGGTGGACGTGCTATTAGTCGTCGTCCATGCTGTGTCTGTCCGTCTCAAACTACGCAATACCTTTTGCATTACCTTATCATTTTATTCTTTCATTTTTTCTTAATATTTCTTTTATAATTTCATCCTCATTTAGATTTTTTTTTTTAGAATTTTTTAGATTTCCTACCTTCTTTTTCTTTTTCTCTCTTTTTCGTTGGTCTAGATTTTAAATGGGATTTAATATGAAAATAGATATAAAAACAACAGTAAATCAGAACATTCGGTTCGATATTTAATTGTATTTCTATTCGCATAAGTCTTCCAAATGACCAATGTTTTCGTCGTAGACTTTCTCTCCTTGTCTCTCTCTCTCTCTCTCTCTTTCTGTCTCTTTAAATATATATATGTATACATATATGCATATCTATATATATATATATATCTCTGTCTCTCTCCTTCTCACTCTGATTTTCTAGGCGCGCATCTAGTTGTATGCGCGGTACGTTTCTCTCCGTAGCCTTTGTGTACGCTCTCAGCTGACGCTCGAGGCTGCCATCAGCTGCCCGAGACCGAAAGAGAGAGAGAGAGAGAAGGAAAGAGGGAGAGAGTGAAAAAGAGAGAAAGAGAAAGAAATAGAAGACGCGCATCCAGGGCCGCCACCTTTCTTTTGCAACACCTTCTATATATTACATACATATCAGATTGTTGTTGTTGTTGTTGTTGTTTATTTTATTATTTCATTTATTGCAGAATTTTGTCGTATTATTATTATTTAAATTTTTATTTATTTTTTTCTTTTGCAACACCTTCTATATATTACATACATATCAGATTTTGTTGTTGTTATTGTTGTTTATTTTATTATTTCATTTATTGCAGAATTTTGTCGTATTATTATTATTTAAATTTTGATTCCTTTGGTGAACACCTGAAAGAAAAGACTTTTTGTAATTTCAAGTGGATAGTTTTTTCTTTTTCTTTTACTATATAACAAAGGAATATTTTGTTCAATATTGATTACTATTAATTATATATATATACGAGTGGATGCGTTAATTATTTTTGCATACTATGTGTGCACATATATATTTTTTCTTTTATTATTTATTTTTATGCAACAATCTAAAACAAATATAAATAAAATAGGAATACTCTCGTGTACCATTACGCTTTTCATAAATATTCATTGTTACAATTTATAGATTTATTTATTTGTATATATATATATATGTGCATATTTTTGTGCAGATAAACAACACATACATATATTACATATGAACTATTGCAATCTGCCATCCAATGAAACTCGACTGTCACGTCCGCACACGTGCGTCTCTTACTTTGAAATATACATGCACGAAAGAGAGAGAAAGAGAGAGAAATATAGATATAGAAAGATAATGATAGAGATAAAGAAAATTAGAGAATAGATAGAAGAATATGATTGGACGAAGAACATGTTATTTCTCTTGGCTGTTTCACGTTGATCCTTTTCGAACGTGCGTTATACCTTCCACAAAAGTGCAATGCACTCTCTATTTCTCTCTTTCTCTTTCTCATTCTCTTTCGTTTGATTTTATTTTTATTTCTATTTCCTTCTCTTCTCTTCTCTTGCTTTACAGTTTAGCGATCTTTGCACTCGAGGAGATACTTGACCGCGTGGAAAGTATTCCGTTTTAATTAACATTCGATTAAATTTCTCCAAAAAATTCTATTTCGATTATCAAAAATTTACATACACGGAAATGCATACATTTAAAATATCTGGACAGTTTTAAACGATTTATACAAAAAAAAAAAATGTTTATTTTTCTTAAACAAATAATCGTCACGAATTTACGAAACCTCCGAAATTTCGTATATCTATTTATAATTATATTTATTTAATAGATAATGTTGTGCGAAATAAAAAAAACATAAATCGAAAATAGATAAATTGTTCTTATTGAAATATTCTTTGAAAATAGGCACAAAATTTCCGGACAAACATACACACATACACAGAGAGATAGATAAAAAGAGAGAGAGAGATATGTATGTATATCTTGACGAGTAATCCTAAGAATTGTTTTTGTAATTAAGCTAACATTTTCTAAGGAAAATATTGTCTATCGATTAATCTTAATTCTCGAATAATATGCGTTAATATATATACGTGATACGTTCACATTACGTATGCGTGTATCTTTTATTTATCAAACGACTAAAAATACAAAAAGAAAAAAACAAAGAAAACAAAAGAAAAGAAAAATAAGTAGTATATATGTTTAATTAAAACACGTAATACACACGTTCGATTGGATTTATTATCATCGTGAATGAAACAACAAAAAGAAGAAACTCCAAAATAAATAGAGTACAAATTTTGTATTCTTTGTCTCTTATTTTTCTTTTTTTTTCTTTTTATTCCTTTTGATTAATTTTTTTTCCGTAATTTTCGATTTCGACTGTTATTATTTTACGAAAGAGAGAGAGAGAGAGAGAGAGAGAGAGAGAGAACATTGAATAAACGTTTACGAATTTCACGTTTAACCTCGACAATATCACAAGAAGCAAGATAATTCGAAAGGCCGCGCGTCTTGTTTTGTACACATTCAAACAGCTGATTCGAAACGGCGACGGCGCGTCGTAAAAACATTGGAGGCCTGTGTTGTTATCATCTCTCACTTCACGTGTACACATAACACACATATATATATTACATATATACATTCACATTCATCCATACGATATGTTTTTGTAAAGTAGGAAGAAAAAAAAAACGAAGAATGAGCCATACGCATTTCGTGTTTCCGTGATTACGATCTTTCCGTAAGTATCTTATTTATGCATGAACGTTTAAAAAAAAAAGAATAAATAAACATCGTATAATATATTCCAAAAAATAATAATTCAATATTATTTCATATTATTTGATATATATCCAAATATCGTATAGATTCTCCGTCGTGTGTTTAATTGTATTCGTTAAAATGCTATCTTTATTATTATTTTTACGTAAAAATTCAATACTATATTTAGAATTATCATTTAAATATTACTTTCGGTTTCTATATTTTTTTTTTTTTTTTCTTTAACACATCATATTTTTTATACTTGTAAACAAACAAAAAATTGGGATTATCCCAATAAGTATTTTATTATTGTACCCAACGTGTACAAAATTACATACGGAGAACAAACCGAATATAAATAAATTGTATAAAAGTATTTTCGTTAAAAAACAAATATTGGAAAGATGAAAATTTTGCATTCGATTTGAAAATGCAAACAAAAAAAAAAGATAATCATCACATGGATAGAAGAGGGATCTGGTACATATTGCTGCAGCATCGTTTTGTTTCTATGTTCCGTATGTTCGTTCGTACTAAAGGAGAATGGGGGGATCAGAAGAAAATGAAACGGGTACGACGAGAGAGCGGTGAAGGACGATGACCCGAATTAAACTAAACTCAAAGCTGTGCGTGGTGTTGCACTCGTCGTGCTCGTGTGTTCCACTCTTCGTTGTGTTTATTTAAGTTGCATCGTTCGTCGTCAACGTGCATAGCTTCTTTTTGCTTTTTATTTTCTTCTTCTTCTTCTTATTTTTCTAGAAGAAATGAAGAAATTCAAACGAGAGAGAAAGAGTGAGAGAAGAGAGTGTGTACGTCATTCGAAAAACTATCGTTTAAAATGAAATTCACTTTCGACTTTCTTTTTCCATCATATTAAAACTCTCTTTTTACTTTTACGTTTTATATAATTTTATATTTTATTTATAAAGAAAATATTTTCTCTCTATCTATATATCAGAATTTCTCATCGAACGTTTTTACTTGGCAACAAAGAACCCACCCACCCCCCCCTTCACTCCTTTTTTTTTATTCTAGTAAATATTTTTATTTGACCTTTTGATTGTATACTTTATATTTTATATATCTTTCATTATCATAAACTTATAGATACGTTATATACGTGTATACTTTTATTAAAATTAGTTTCGAGTGAATTTTTGATCGCGTTACACGCTTTCAGGAATTTTTTTTTATTTCTCTCAATTTTCTGCTTTGTTGAGAAGCTCTCTCTCTATCTCTGTTAAATAGAATTATTAAAGTAATATTTGAAATACAGTAGGGGTTATATTTATTGGATTTATTTTTCAGTCAATATTATACAACAAATATTTATAGTATTTTTTTTTAATATATAGCATAGGATTAAGAAACGTATATATATTCCAATTAAAAATAGCATTTCAATGGGAATTAATTTTGTCTGTTTTTGGTAGTTGAGTCATTTTTATTTTATGTTTCTTTTTTTTTATTTATATATTATT